TGAAAGGAATCTCTAAGAAGAGAGGTGATGGGTACAAGTGAACAGAGTAGTGAGAGGTAGTTACCTCCAGACCAAATATTGTTTTTCTTTTAGTTAATTAATTTATATTTATTTTTTCTTCAACAAGATGCTGAAAACATTCCTTAATTTTGGTCCATACTGACATGACATATATACATATATATATATATATATATATACATATACATACACACACACACACACACACACTCAGTAAAGAGCCGTATTGTACATTCAGAGATACAGTGGTTTGGTACAGTTGCCACTGTACTCTTGATGGGTGTTTTTGTACTTTAGGGAAATCACCCTTGGTGACATTTTTGAAATGTTACAGAAGTAGATATTTCTAGATTTTTCTGTACCTATGCTTGGAAATGCACTCCGATTTGTATATAACCTGTCTTGTCCTATTACAAGATCATATATGCATATTTTGACATTTTAAAAAGGTACATAGAGGTCCAATATTTAGCCCTTAGTTATGTTTTTATGTACATTAAATCTGTGAAGACTAGAGCCTGACAAAAATACAGCCATAGGGCCGATATCTCTGCTTTTTAAAATCAATAAGCATCAGTGTCCGTCTTAAACGCCTATATCGGTTGAGCTCTAGTAAAGACCCAAATTGCCTTTTGCTGTACCCCTGTGCACGCTGATGCTATAAGCTAACTGTTAGCAAGAAGCAAAGTTGTAGTTTTACCAAAGTTTGTGTTTCTTACATATTGCACCTTTAAGTGTATGTACTGCAGTAATAGTTGTGATGTCTAAGAGACTTGACTAACTACAGGAACGTGTACGTTAACGTATGCTCCCTCAGTATATGCTGCAGTCTGTTCCCTTATATTATTTAGTTGATGTTGATGACTCAGTGTACGTAACCTGTGAGGCAGTTGCAGAGAGAGTGCATAATGGTTAGAATAAAGATGATTTGTTTTTTTTTCAATGTGGATGAAAGAGACAAAAAGAGAGGAGAGCTTTGGTTTTTTTTCTTTTTCTTAATATCCTCATTCGTCCATTTAGTAGAGAACCATTTATGGTGCTGCGGGTGATTTGCGTACTAAGAGCTTTTCTGCTCCTGTGAGACCTTTGCACACTCTCTCATTCTCTCTTTCAGTTTTTCATTTCCGCCCTTTTCCTCTTCTCCTTGCCTCTGTGGCATGCCCAAACTGTCTGAAATCTGTAGTTTATTATCCAAACAAAGGCTTTTGTAAGTGAATCCCGCTGAGGACGGGACGAGGCTCTATAGTGAGAAATGGAAGGATCGCATCTGCATAGCAATAGGCTTCACTTTTACTAAAGTTCAGAAAAACTTGAGTGGTGGCCATTCTGGAAAGAGAGCTTCTTCATTCAACTCACCAGCCTCTGGGTTTCTTTACCCCAAGGAGCAGTGCCACCCTGCATCGCTCGAGTGAAGTACGAGATATCAAAGCAAATAAACATGAGATTTGGTTGTGCCCGAAGTACCTTATCTACATAAAATCTGAATATTGAGTACAGGTTAAAAGCAGTGTTGTGTGCAAGTTTGTGTTTTCTTCGCTCCTGTCAATGGATTGCATTCTTACATTATATATATTTTTTCTCATCCTTGCTAGGAAGCTGCAAAGTTTTGCTTCAGCTGGAACAGCAGATAATAGTTTAGCTGCTGTGTAAATTTCTGTCCCTGTTTCCATTCAGATGATAGCGAGGTGACTGATGAGGCATACAGAAGCATTACGTACCTCACAGCCTTCTGCTCGTCTCTCTCAAAGTCTGTTTTGGATATGCTGCTGTGAACTGATAAACATCACGAAAAAAGCAGCGGTTGTGTAGGCCTTAGACAAAATGTAGCTTTTTCCTCTGTTCTTTTTTTGGTTAGAAAAGGCGTTGGGATGAATTCATTGCAAAGAAGGAAAAACTGAACATTTTCAGTGCATCTTATTTGTTTTGTTTTGTTCTGTTTATGGAGAGGATTACTAATTGACTCATATAAAGTGGCAGATTGGGATCAGGTCCTTTTCTATAGAGTTAAATCAGAGCATGAGAGTCATTGGATACATCATATCCATTTGAGATCCAGTCGCTCGCTCGGACTCGTGTGCTTCCTGTTGCTCTGAATGCACAAATTAATTGTGCCTCCTCTCTCCCCCACCGCCTACCCCGCCTTCTACGTCAGACGGATTTTGAGAAGGACGTTGACTTGGCTTGTCAAACAGGTGAGCTCTCCCTTCTACCTGATTTCGCTTTCCCTCCTTCTCCTTTTGTCTCCATTCTCTTCTCTGTTCCCTTGTCCCACACAGGATTAGCATTGCAAGCTGTTTCATTCTTAGCTTGCTGCCGCATGTGTTGATGAAATGACAGGAGATGATGCGCTACATCTCGGTGCAGCAAATTATTATGCCTTATCAATCACACTGATTCTGCCCAATAAGTGTTCAGCGAGCATATGTTTGGATGAGACTGTGCTTAATTGTGCATGATAATAACACTCCTCGATGTGTTCAGACCTGTTTCACTCGTTAGTCGACAATGCTCCTGTGTGGGTGTTTGGATGTGTTACAGATGTACCACAGTATAAGTGTGTGTTGTGCTTTGAAATATTAACAAAGAGTCACTCCACCCTCCCACCCCTCCACTCCCTCCCAAAACCCTTGCAGAGAGAGGACACCCATGTAAGTTTTGCACCTTACTGACCTAATAAATACTGCCTGATGTGTCCGTAAACTCTAAGAGCTCCTATAGACGAATCCAGCTGAAATCCATATTCGTTTACTCCATCTATTGAACAGTTTTGGGGTCTGATTGTGTCTATGCTGATGATGGCACCACCCTACATACTGTATCTATTTCTAGTGGGTGCCTTCCTATATTTTCTAGCCAAACTTTAAACCTGTACAAATAGCTCATCTTTCTTATCTTTTTGACATTCAGTACTCCCGTAGTAAGATGTTCCCCGGTTTAAAAGTAGACCTTTCAATTCTGACTGTCAGCAAAGGCCTTCTGAAAGTTTCACTCTAAGCATCTTAGAGTTTCGAGGCCAAACATCATGAGCACGGGTGATATCTAACCAAGAAACCGATGGATGCTACACACTCAAACACAAGAGAACTGCCATTGCATTGTAAATCATATGCCGCTTTATCATTTTTATGAACTTCATGTATTGAATAATACTTGAAACTAGTGACTGAACTTCTCGGACCTGAACTTGTAGAATGTAGCTTCCACGTCTCAAAAATCAAGTCAGCAAAGGTTGACATTAAACCTGCCTTTCCTATCGCTATTGTCCCATAGACTTCCATAAAACTTTAGGTTGTATGGAAGTCTATGGGACACTAGCTCCTGGCTCTGTGACCGTTTTTATGACAACTTTATGGGCTAAATTGGTAGGTTAAGTTGTAAAATTATACATTATTATGAGTTACAAAATTAAAATCATCACCACTCAAGTGAAAAAAGAGAAGTACTGACTATATCCTCATCACCAGTCACATCTTTTTGGCCAGCGAGCATGCTGCTTACCTCGGTTTCACGGTCAGATCAACCCCTCGGTTGTTACATCTGGTTTTCATAACAACAAGAAAGCGCTGGTTGAAAGCGCCAACTTAAAGCTTCACCAGTAGGTAACGTCATTACATCGATCTCAGGCTTTACCTGGAATCTTCCTGCTAGGTTTAAACCAGTTAATCTGTTGTATAAAACACATATTCCACACACAAGACATTTGTGTTCTTTTTTTCCCCCCTAAGGCTATGTAGTAATTAATTTCTGATTAGTCCTTTGAGACTAACTTCCACATTCATAGCGACTACTTTCACTGCCCCCCTGACAGTGATTAATTTAAATATCCTTGCTTTCACTGTCACTGCAAATGTGTTCACTTCCACTCTGCATCAGCAAAAAAAACAGCAGCGGTACTTTAGAACACAACACACACAAAAACAACACTGGATTCGTCTATAGGTCTTTCTCTGAGCCATCCGCTGTTTGTTGCAGATGTGATGGGAGCAGATTGGTCAGATTTCTCCAAAACCTGTTCCAATCCATCCTGTCAGTTTGCACCAACAGGATGATGGAACAGAGGAAATGACAGTTGTAGTAAGCCAGTGTGCTTTTGCTGCATTCACCCTCAGCAGGATCCAGCTTCAATTTTTGATCAAATGTCTAGCCTGACATTCTGTTAAATCAATACAGCTTGTATGAAAACAGTCTGAGCTTCTACTTTGGTCTAAAAATTGGGATTTTGGGGCCATGTAAATATCTACTCCTCTGATGGTGACAGAATGAGCATGATATCTGGCATGGATTTCCAGATGGTTTGATATATGTGTGTGTGTGATTGATGATAGCTGTGACAGAAGATTGTCTTTCATAAGCATGTCCGAATTAGTTATGCAGTAACTCTTCTAGAAGTGTGGAGTGTCTGAGCTTCTCTTATGATTAATGAGCATGAAAACTAATTCACAGCCACTGTAAGCAGGTTTTGTGTTGTGCTATTAACAGTATTGTGGAAACACACGCATACGTTAATGCTCAAAACACTTCCTCTAGTGCATATAGATGTACGTCAGTATGTGAAAGCAGGCAAGAGAAAAGCACTGGGTTTTATATAGCATTTTTCACCAAGGACATTACTCTGAGATTTAAGGTCACAGTGTCAGAAACAAAAAGTCAGTCACTGTATACCAAGCACAACATGAGAAAATCACATTTTTCTTTCGAGGTGCATTGTATCTTGAGGCTGTTTTATAGCTGCAAGTATATTTCAGTGTCAGTTTCATTTAATTTATGCTGTCTGTCTCTGCGTTGCACACCTCTCTTGTCAGTTGTGTTCTCTTTGGCATTAAATATATTTATTCTCTTCCATTCAACATCTAAACTTTTCACCTTCACTATATTTCTCCTTTCACCAACTATCCAAATTCCTTCTCGCATATCTCTTGCCTATCTTCCATTCTCTTTGCTGTCTCTTTCCAAATCCTTACGCCTCCCTCGTCTCACTGCAGTCATTTTCAAAGAGGTGAACACCTGTAACCCAGCCACTATCACTGGGACCCTTTCCCGCATCTCCCTGGATGATGAGGACGATCCTAAGCTGGCAGCCCATCAGGAGGGCGGAGTAGGGGTCAACTTCAGCACTCTCCCAGGGAACATCCCCCCTCCTAACCTTATTGTACAGGTACACAATTAAAGTTTCTAAACTTCCAAACAGATTAGCTCATTCATTTTTCAACTTCCTTCTGGACATTATATTGAAATTAAATTTCGAACACAATTTTGAAGTTGAACACGACAAAAAGAGATGGAATGTGTCTCATCATATGAAGTTAAGCGGGATTGCCAAAGAAATAAAAAAGAATGTAGTTTATCGAAAATAATTCTGCTTGCAAAAAAACAATTTTATTGGGGTTTATTTGTTTGTTTGTTTTTTGTTTTATCTGCAAGGTTCCACCTCTGGGAGGCCTCAATGAGCTGAGTGAGACCCCCCTAAAGAAGGAAGTGAATGTGGACCAGCAGAGACAACAGGGACAGCAACGCGGCGGCGCTCCGATCTACCTGTGCACCGAGAGTGGCCTGGGCTGGGCTCGACCTCCGGCTTCATCCAACACCTCCCAGGACGGAAGTGCTGGAAGCGGAGGGGGTGGGGGAGACGGAGGAGAGGGGGGTGGTGGAGGAGAGGGGGACTACATGGTCTTACCTCGCAGGACAGTCACTTTCAAACCTGCAACACCCTCCTCCCAAGGAGGAGGCCTGGGACTGGGGGGTGAGGACAAGCCTCTCAACATTGCAGTGGAGGATCCTCCCTTCCCGCCGCCTCCCTCTCCTCTGACCCTTCACCCGGCAGAGAGTGAGGCCTATCCGGCGGATTTTGTGCCATCCAGTGTGGGTGACATGAACATCACCATGAACCTCAACCGCTCCTTTGGGACGATCAAAACATTGCCCCATGGGCAGGGCCACTTGATGCCTCAGGGTGGTCTTGTGCACTCCCATGGAGGACATATGCATTCCCATGGGAATTCTTTGCAGCTAAAGCCGGGCCAGAGACCTTCAGTCAGACAGATTCTGACAGGGGGAACAACAGTGGAGAGAACCAGGACCCTGCCACGCAACCTGGGCAGCACCAATGCCAACACCAGCCTCTCAGCAGGATCCCTGGAGGTGGGTGATAGGTTGAGGACAAACGGAATAAAGGCAACGCTGGTTGAGTTTTTTTCCACTGTCTCCCTGAATTTTACAGTGATAGCTATTCAGGTTGTGATAATGCAAGTAAAATTATAAGTGGGTTGATAAAGAGGAGTGGAAAGATTCACAGTCATTAATGCCTGTGGAATAATTTTTTTTTTAAAAAGAAAAATTCAGATCAACTCATTGCATCGACCGTCCTCTCAAAACAAGTTCACTTACACCAGGAAAAGTAAGACATCTTGATCTATCTGACATTTCACTTAACTTTAGGAACAACTAGATGGTCTTCATTTCTAAACCAACTTTTATCACCAATCTATCAATACCAAACACGTGAAAAGAAGAAAAATGTCTATTCACATGCCTCATAGTTTCGTAAGTGCGGCCTTCAAACGTGTTAGTTCAAATTTAGTGAGTTTCTAATACACGCTGTCTATTTTCTACAGTAACAGTACACTGTGATAATAACACAGTCGTGTGCCTAAGTATAAGTCTGCTATAACAGCTGCTATTTTCAGATGAGTAGTATTTATAGCTGCTCTTTGAGAGGATGACCATTGAAATGAGTTATTCTCATAATGACAGACAGCTTCATATTAGTTTAGTGTCTCTGTATGAGTGATTTTAATATGTGTGTGTGATACCCCCCTCCACTTCCTAATGGTACAGGGTTTTGCAGCAGATGGACCGAGGCTGACAGGATCAGAGTAAAAAAAAATTCCCTGGTGAATGTCTTTCAGCCCACCTTAATTTTTGCAAACACTCATTGACATACTTTACATAGTCACATGCACAAATACACACTTTAGATCTTCCCTTAATGGCATCTTGCTGACTGCTGGAGGTTGATTAAATAGATGGAAGCAACATTTTCACTCAAAAAGTGAAAATACTTCTCTCGGGGCAAAGGATGTTAAGGACGAGTCATTAAGACTCATAAAAAATCACTGTCAGATGAGTAACGAGTCCACTCATGAATATGGAAAAAAGAAGAAAAAAAAACTCTGAAGAGAAACCGGATGTAATTTACTGCTACAATTTCACCCTGTTAGGATATGTTTGATTCGGAGATGGATGTCAGAGAGTGCCTCTCAGGATTAAATCCGTGTTTTACTTTCCAATTGCAACAGGAAGATGTGTCGTGGAAAGATTGTGGAAAAGTACTTAGGGTGTCAAATGTACTGTTGATTCAGAAGCTTGTTTGTTTAAACTCCAAGTGATGTATATCAGAGTGTGAAAATGACTCACTAAGCATATTATCCAATAATTGTGCTATTGAAACCAGCGAGTTCAAACGAACAACACCGCAGCACCACCGTGCCATCTGAACAGCAAAGTGTAGGAGGACAGAATCCCATATGATTTTTGTATGAGTGAGTTAGCTATTGCTTTCTGTGTGTTTCCATCAAAACATGCAATATACTGCACACGTATATGCATGTTGCATGCCTGCCATATTGCAAAGCTAATTCAATCATGGAATTTCTCTGTTTAAGGTAAGGATTCCGCGATAATAAAAGAGGGAATGGTTGAATTTTCAAAGGCAATAGGACATCCCGGGAGAAACTTGCCTCTCTATCTGTTTGCATTTCTCTCCGTTTTAAAAACCTTGGCCGCCGTAGCATCAGATCAGCAACTCTGCCCTATCAAAGAATGAATACTGCTTTTAACTAACTGTAGAGAGCAACTCCTCTCCCTGCCAAATGCAAATCTGGCAGACAGTGGGAGCCAGAGAGGAAGTCAGAGATGGAATGTAATTCAGTGCAAAGTCGGGGCCAGATGAGTTGGAAATATCTGCAGCTGTTAAATTGGCGGGTTGTGTGCCACTCACTATAGCTAAAGAAGCACTTAAGATGAGAGCGGTGGGGTCCAAACAAGATTAGAGGATGAAACACATCCCTCACATGTTTATGGCAGCTTTTTTAATCTGGATGTCTTCAACAAATTCTCCAAAAATAGCAGAGAAGACGATTTACACCAAGGCTGTAGCGATTGTATTTGAGGGTATGTGAGCCAAGAAATTATATTTCATTGTAATTCTGGGTTATTCCACTCCACTAATCTCATTACATTGAAATAGGCTGAACAATTTGCCTTTTTTTCCATGACATTTGTAAATAAATGTCTGTATCATGTTGGGCAGCCGGTGAATATTAGCCGTCCTCTTGTTACTGAACAATGGCACTGAAAGATCCACAAAGACACTGAGATCAAGAGAATTCTGTGGTGGTCGAGGGGTGGTCATTGATGCTTTCTTCTCTCCCCCTGCCCCCCTCCTCTTCCAGAGGAAAAGAGTACGGTACTCTGAACTGGACTTCGAGGTAAGATCTCGGACCTCATCCCCCCGTCATCAGCCTGTCTCTGCTTTCTTGTGCTTCTGCCAGGACTTGAGTAACACCTAGAGGAGTAAAAAAAAAAAAAAAAAGCATTGCTAAACCCCTTCCCTCGCTCCTGTGTCTCCCTTGCTCTCAGATCAGTGACCTGTTTCAGACTTATCTTACATAGTATGCTGTTTCTCCAACATTGGCCAGTCAAGCCGTCCCTACGTACAGTCCGTCTTTATGAACAAGCGGATGTGTTATTTGAATCTGGAAACCAAACCTTCCAAACAACATGCACAGTTAAATCCAATGAGTTTGTCATGTCTTTTTTTGGGGTCCTGGTTGAAGAAACAGTAAAATGCTTCTTGTGTCTGGATAAAAACTAGTAATTCCGTCCTGGGTTGACACGTACCGTATGTGGCCGCAGTTGGTTTGCTGGTTATATCTGTTGGAACGAGATGGTTTGGCAGTGTCTGTGAGTATGTTTGTGTTAAAAATGACTCGAGTGTCCCGTGAATCGCCAGTCTCTATGCAATAAAATACAAGCCATCTCGTAACACTGCTGCCCTCCCTGAGAACTCCTTTGAGTATTGGCCAATGCAGAGACTGGACATTCACCTCCCGCCATGGACACATATCATTTGCGTAAAGGGTATGAGTGAGGACAAGCTACTAACACTGATTACAGCTGATCATTTTACTTATCTGGCCTATTTATCTGGAGTCATCTGTGGCTTCTGCATGAACAAGGAAACTGGCTCTCCTTGAAAGCAACCCTTTTCTCACCAACTGACTATTGATTTTTGAGAAAGAGACATAGACGAACCACTAAAACAGCAAAGTGTACACTTCTATGAGTTAATGAAAGGTAAATCCATTTTCAACCATGCTTTTTTTTCTCCATTGATAGAGTTGGCTCATCCCTTTAGACTGTCAAAAGCGAACTTCTTTTTTACGAATATACTGAATACTTAAACAAATTAGAAATCTAATTATGTGTTTCAGGGAAAGTAATACCTTATACTCTTAAGTTTATGCTTTTTAGTATTTGACTTCAAGCTGGATATCTTGAAAGAAAGAGCATTCAATAAGAAAACATTGCAGTACAATTTGGTATATCCCCTCTTTTATTTCAGACACTATAAAGTGGTGGGACCAGTTGCTCCAACTGGTATTTACTAAGCCTGGTCTTTAGTGCTAAGTTGGCTCCAGTCTTTAGAATGGACTTGGAAAAGTCGTGTGAAGGCAGGGGCTACTGTCTAGCAGGTACCAACTGTAACTGTACCAGTATAATGCAGATTTTGAATAAACCCCGGTCCTAACTAAGCCTAAATTTATGTATAGTCATAGCAAGATGGTAGCTTATCTTGCAGAATGACAAACCGGCCTAGCTGGACGAGCCTAGGTCCATTGACGAACTTAGCTTAAAATTGCCCTTAAGCTCTGTTTGTGCAACCTTACTTTCGACCTTTTCTATAATGCACTGCTGTTGATTGTTCTTTATTTTGTATGTTACATTTGAGATTCTTGAAAACCTAAAACTGTAGAAGAAGTCAAGGAGATAGTAGCACCTTCTAACTGAGCAGAGATGAGAGTACCCACTCTGAAGTAATTGGAGCCAGTGCTAAGCGCCAACTGGCCAGTAAGTGTGCGGGTGTGAGTGCTGGCATCCTGCCCCTGTGTCACTTTCAACCTCACAAGCTGCTTTGACGATTAGCAACCGCCGAGCAGCTCCAGCACTGCCCATTAGCACGGAGAGACAGCAGTGGCACTGACAAATGCAGTTCGCTGTCAGAGAATTACAGATCCGGGTTTAACTCCCTTCGGGACAGCCACATTCGGAACACAGGGATGGCAGCTTTTTGATAAATATAATTTCAGTGAGGGTAAGAGTTAAATTCTAGCCCATCTGTTAGATTTTTAATGAGTTTGACAAAAAAGAAATCCTGATTTAACAGGATCACCAGTTAGCAAGAACCAGGCTGTGACAATGGCATTTTTGTCACTCATTTTCACCAGATATTCATGTAAAGGCCTCGCTTCTGCAGCACTTACAGTTGCCAAATTCTTAAAGACAGAGGAAGTGGATAATGGATGAGCATGAGCCAGCAATCGATCGACAGTGTCTCGCTCTAACCCCCCTTTTCATGGCTGGCATCACTGCAGTCCCTCAGCATTTTACCCATTTTCATTCCCCCTGCCTGTCCCTACACGGCTCTCCCTCCCTTCATTCTTTTTTTTTTCTTTTTTTTTGGTTTGTTTCTATTTGCTTCATTTCTGCTGTCCCTTCCTTTCTTCCCTTCCAGAAAGTGATGCACACTCGCAAAAGACATTCTGAGCTGTACCATGAGCTCAACCACTCGTCCAAGTTCCACACCATAGACAGGTATAGCAGGGACCCAGCCATGTCCACATTCAAGGTAAGATCATTGCCCCGAGGCAGGATGGGAACCCACTGCACCCGTGCACCTCCACCTCCTATCCTATACAATAATTAAACCCCCAACGCCCCACACCCCCACACCTCCCATTCCGTGCCATTTCTGGGACGCAATAACTAGCTTCAAAGGAAGTGGTCAACAATGACTAAATATTATCAGCGCTGTGGTGGCGACATTGTATTTATTCGTTAATGCAGCTTTCAGCCAATTATAGGCATAAAAATTCCGAGCAAAGCTCCCACTCATTTACAAACATGAGGTAGATTTGAAAGCAGCTGTATTCATTATGGTTTCCTTTTTTCATGGCAAATTGCTGTCTTAGAAATGTGAAAACATTGTTTGCGCTAACAAGGAAATCTAAATGCAATGTGAATACTGTGTACAGTGTTTTCATTGGCGTTTGATTAATTCATTGTTACACTTATTATCACAGTCCCGAAGAACTGAGCATTAACTGCCTTATAAATATTTCTTTAGAGGCACATTCTGTTCCATCTTTCATACTGTAAATTACTTTTCTACCTGATGTAATTGGCCTGAAGCTCATTTATTTTCACTTGTGCTCGGTGCCTTATTAAGAGAATATCAAATGAGTTGATCGCATGAGCTTTTAACAGAGGGGTAATCAATCAGAGCGGATTAATGAAATCCAAATGCTGCAGTTTTAATACCTGTGAAACTGTTTGTCACTCCTTACCAAACTATCTCACCACAATTAATTACACGAAAGGGAAAATAAAAGAAAAAGAAACAACAACAGCACATCTGTCCATACGCACAAATGGTTTCGTCTGTGCCTGTGTCGAACCGGCTAATGTGTCCGTTTAATTTTCTTTGTGCTGTATGGAAATGTTCTTTTAAGTGTGTGTCTGTGTGTGTGTGTGTGTGTGTGCCTGCACAGGCCACGAGGTGTGTGTCCATGGGGGATGCCTGGGTGGGCACCTATGCGCATGAGACAAAGACGCCTCCTTGAATCATTAATGCATCATTAGCAGCAGACGAAAGAGTCCCCCGCTTGCTCCGCGCTGACCTTCAGAGGGCTACTTTCATTAAGATTTAAACACACGCGTACACGCCTGCATTCCACTCATCTGCTGCGCTTTAGTGCGTGGAGCCATGATGAGTTAGCCAACCTTGATAGGTGTACTTTCCCCTGGCATCGATGGTATGCTGGTTTCACATCTAATTTACACCGCCAGAGGAGGAACAGAGGCTAGTCTGACATCTCTCATATTCCCCATGCTGTGAAGACACACAGAGGGAAACATGTTGCAGTTTCCCATTGCCAGAGCAGCGGCCTTTTACTTCACTCCTCATTTGCTCTGCGTCTTGATCAAGATTTTCAGAAGCGCTGGCTGACTCCACGTTCGCTCATGCCAAGCAACTACTTTATGGAGGAGAAGAAAAATGGCAGGCGCTCGCAAAAGAGCGAGCCATATATTAGAAGTCTGCGGCTCTTAACAACAGTTGCGCCGTAGCATGCTAATGTGCTTCAGAGGGAGCTCAGGTGTGCTTTGAGATTATGGCCGAAACGTTAAAAGAAGCGAGAGAGCAGCCACGAGTAATAGACGGGCCGTGTTTAAAGTAATTAAGTCAAATCGGAGCACGTATTTCCTCCTGGTTAATGACGTCACGCGAGTTATGATGTGAAAGGACAGCACCGGTACGGCTTAATCCTCCAATTTCATTATGTTAAAAGTAAGTAGGCCGTTCACTTAACTGCGAATAATTACACGGATAATGCTATCAGCGTCAGGTCTTTGACAGGCCCCAGCTTGAATTCGGCTCTGCTATTGTCAACATCTCACTTTGAGAGTCACCCCCAGACACGGACATGCTGACTATACAGTAATTATGGAGATGAGAGGGGTTTGTGCTAGTCTGTGCGAGCGGATGTGCACGTTCATACACTCACATCAGAGAGCCTACGTGTGTGGCACCATGTCTCTCTGTGTGTGGATGTGGCCATAACTTGTTTCTGTGTGTGTGTGTGCGTGTCCACTTGTTCCTTCTTGTTTGTGTGTTTATCCGTTTTATGTTTTGAGATCACTGTGATGCACTGCCTGTGTTTGGAGCACATAAACTGTGTTTAGGAGACAATTACTGCATGAGTAATGATATAATCGTTTCATAATTACTTTAATAACCTCCCTTCTACAGCGTGTGACAGAGTGACAGTGATTTTCACATATCCTACATGAGTGATTTAATTGCAAACAAAATGGCATTTCGCGAGGATATCTCCTCACGGATGGACACCCAAAGTACCGTGGAAGTTGAAATTCACCTTTAACTTCATATGGCCAATTGACTTTGTCACTTAAGGACAGGCTCTATTGAGTGTCTCACCTTTTTAATGATAAAGGAGGTTGGCCAGTTCTTTGCAACCTCTTGGTCCAGTTGCCTACATAATGTTATCATAAAACAGTGCTTTAAACAGAACCCTAAATACCCCTGTTGCCCCTCTAACTACCATGGCTGGTGTTCGCCCACAACAGGTCCCCCCTCCCCCTCCACCGAGGCACAACACTGAGCCATCTCTAGTTCGCAGAGCATCCCTGGTTTACAAAGAAAGTCAAAGTAAGACGTGCTAAAACAAGATAAACCTTGTGGTGTAAAGCCCCTCTAATGCTGCTAAAGTAGGCAGTGTACCTACATGCTACAGTTTGTACCTCATAGTTTGCCACCTTTTGTCCTGAAGCTGTGTTTTCATACAGTCATTTACGCATTTCACATTGAAGCGTCTGCTGGTTGAATTCCTCCCCCCAGAATAATTGTTCAATTGCAGTTTATCAGCTGTGACTGGGTTAGTCAGGCTTTGGATTTCTTTACATGTTGATAAGTAGTGCGAATGGATGACCTTCCATTTGTCTGCTGTATTACAGAAGATAGCTTGGTATAGACTGTATCTGAGCATTGCCTAAAACAATAAAAAGAAACACTGAACAAGCTGTCCTTGAAGGCGTAAGAGTTCAGGTTTATGAACCAGGTTTATGAACCTGAACTCTGTTGGAGTATGTCATAGTAATAAAGCGTTGCACCTGCAGAAGCATTAAAAATAAAATGTGACAAATCACACATTGATTATTATCATGGTGAGAATAGTAGCAATACCTGTATTACAATGATGCTAAAGATTTTACACAACCAGCCTTTTTCTGGGACATGTAGCTTGTAGGTTTTCATAAAGTGCACATTCAGTGCCCATAAATATTCTCCTTTTAAAACCTGAAATGTTCCAACCCAAGACAGGAGTTTAAAAGAGCTGACGAAGTTGGCAAGTTAATTATCTAGTTTAATTTAGATAGTAAATGTGAAGGTTGCTAATTACAAATTAATCTGAGAGCAGGAATGAAATGCATACTTTTGTGCAAATCTTTTGTACCACTTTTTGAGAAAATACAAGAATGTTAACAGCAAATCTGTTAGCATGTCCATACACAGTAATTAAAGGAGGAATTAAACTTAGCAACCATGGTACTAGCTGCAGGTCTGCAAGAATTTATCATGTGTAATTACAGTAAAACAAACGGTGTCAAACTATACCACCTGTAGCTGCTCATTTTCCACCTGTCGGTGCTTCCTCATTGTGAAGTATCTGTATTTGATGAACCTTAATATTATACTGAACCCCCCTTCCCAGTGGTATGGTGTGGTGTAACAGTTCTGTGCATCGTCGCGTACACCCTCATGCCTCAGCGTTCAGGTAATGAATGCTAATTCCTCCTCCTTCATTAAGCCCTTTGCAGTTTCATATTGAAACTCTAAATCTGGAGCGACTTTATCTGGACGGATGTCCAGGACTTGTATAGTGGTGTGATACAGGACTGAATGTTCATGAGTGAACTTTTTTTTTTCTTAATATCCTGATTTTGTAATGTTTTTATGTTGTGAAAAAAGGTGCGTCCATTGTGTCCATTTTCAGTGCCTGAGTTAAATCTTACGATCTAAACACCATAACCACATAATAAACCAGTCTGTAAAGACAACAGCCCATCCAAAATGATTTATAACCACCTCATAAACCAAGATATTATGTTCATAAACTCATGCACTAAAAAGGACTAAACGCTATGCACTTTTATGTGTGCTGATGAAACACTCAAAAATATTGCAAAAGGGGTCAGAAGAGACCTGATTCATTTTGCTCTCTTCAGGTAGGAGCTCTGTGTTGGCTGTGTTGGGGAGATGAGTGGATATCAGAAACACAAAGAGACACAGACACTTTTTTTTTTTTTGCTTTCACATCTTATCCAATTTTCCATGTAAGTGCAGTGGGCTTACAGTGGTCTTAGGCATTACATGTACCCTCACAGATAGAATCAACACACTTCAAACTCCTCATTTTGCTTTTCTTGTCTCTCCTTTTTCTTCCAATCTCATACAGCCATATTCTTGTTAAATCTGTGCTACCTGGTATCTGGTAATCCTTATATTTACCAGATGTCTGTCCAGAGGCTGAATAAGCATTCTACCTAATAGACTGAAAAAGGATAGGAAATATGTGACTGGAAAGAAGTAGGAGCCAGACAGACTACTGCAAGAGTCCCCATTAACCTCCATGCTGAAGATCACCTTGTCTATCCGTTCTGAAGCTAGCAGACATATTCCCGCAGTCTGAAAATAAATTTAAATTTGGCTCTGTGTTGCATATTCTCCTAAAAAAAACTCATCAGAAACACTCCTAATGTCTTTTTCAGCCTAACACAAGCATATGCACTATATTGTATTCACTCAACCATCCAAATTATTGAATATAGTGTTCCAATCACTTCCATGGCCACGGTGTAAAGTCAAGCACCTAAGCATACAGGCTGCTTCTACAAGCATTTGTGAAAAACATGGTTACTCTAAGGCAGGGGTCTCGAACTCCAGGCCTCGAGGGCCAGTGTCCTGCAGGTTTTAGATCTCACCCTGGGTAAACACACCTGAATCAAATGATTAGTTCATTACCAGGCCTTCTGGAGAACTTCAAGACA